AAATCCCATTTTTTACCCCCAAAATGGCCCTCATGTGCCCCAAAATCCCACATTTTAGCCCCAAAACAACCCGTTGTGCCACCAAAGAGACAGCAGAGCAGGCAGCTGCCGCTGCAAGCCCCAAATCCTGCCTTTTTCAGCCCAAAAATGGCACCTCACACCCCACCCTGATCACGTCTGCCCCAAAATCTCTCTTTTCAGCCCCAAAATGCCCCTCCTGTGCCCCCAAATCCCACTTTTTAGCCCCAAAATAACCCGTTGTGCCCCCAAAGAGACAGCAGAGCAGGCAGCTGCAGCTGCTAGCCCCAAATCCTGCCTTTTTCAGCCCAAAAATCGCACCTCACACCCCACCCTGATCACCTCTGCCCCCAAAATCCCATTTTTTACCCCCAAAATGGCCCTCATGTGCCCCAAAATCCCACTTTTCAGCCCCAAAATGCCCCTCCTGTGCCCCCAAAGAGACAGCAGAGCAGGCAGCTGCAAGCCCCAAATCCTGCCTTTTTCAGCCCAAAAATGGCACCTCACGCTCTATCCTGACCACCTCTGCCCCCGAAATCCCACATTTTAGCCCCTAAATGCCCCTCCTGTGCCTCAAAATCCCACTTTTCAGCCCCAAAACGACCCCGTTGTGCCCCCAGAGACACATCAGAACAGGCAGCTGCAAGCCCCAAATCCTGCCTTTTTCAGCCCAAAAATGGCACCTCACACCCCACCCCGATCACCTCTGCCCCCAAATCCCTCTTTTCAGCCCCAAAATGCCCCTCCTGTGCCACCAAAATTCCACATTTTAGCCCCAAAATGCCCTTCCTGTGCCCCCAAAGAGATAGCAGAGCAGGCAGCTGCAGCTGTGAGCCCCAAATCCTGCCTTTCTCAGCCCAAAAATGGCACCTCACACCCCACCCCGATCACCTTTGCCCCCAAAATCCCACATTTTAGCCCCAAAATGGCCCTCCTGTGCCCCAAAATCCCACATTTTAGCCCCAAAACGACCCCGTTGTGCCCCCAAAGAGACAGCAGAGCAGGCAGCTGTGAGCCCCAAATCCTGCCTTTTTCAGCCCAAAAATGGCACTTCCCATTCCCCATTCCCCTTCCTAATCATCTCTGCCCCCAAATCCCTCTTTTTAGCCCCAAAATGCTCCTCCTGTACCACCAAAATCCCTCTTTTCAGCCCCAAAACAACCCTGTTGTGCCCCCAAAGAGACAGCAGAGCAGGCAGCTGCAGCTGTGAGCCCCAAATTCTGCCCTTTTTTGCCCCAAAAATGGCACCTCACACCCCATAACCCCATCCCAGTGCCTCCCAATGCCCCATAGCCCCATCCCAGTGCCCCATCCCAGTGCCCTATAACCCCTCCCAACACCCCATAACCCCCTCCCACTGTTTCCCAGTG